ATAAATAAATACTCAGGAAATACATAAATAAATACATATTGATAATTATTTGGTGATTATAGCATGTGACTAATACTTGGAAATACCAGAGGTTTGAATCAAACTGAAAATGTATGAGGAAGATTTAGATCTGATTTGTAGTGACCTCCAGTATGTCATGGGTTCACCCTTAGTGATATCAAAGTAAATTTTATACTCAGTGTCACCTCAGAATGTCAAAAATTCTAAGTACCTCTTGGGCTGACCTAGAAGATGTCCTTGAACCACCAAGAGCAGAATCAGAGCACCAACATAAACATGAAGTAAATCTAACTATAGTTAGACAAACAGGATATCAAGAAGGTATATATACACGCTGAATTTAAAAACAGAATCCCTTATAGCATTGCAAAAAGAAGCATAATCTTTTGATGTAAGACTTAATTGGCTGTCATTATTTGATGGAGTCCAGAAGAGGATAAATAGTTATCTTATGTAGGAAAAATTTAGTCATGTATTCTTATCAGACATTACTAACATTACTCAATAATTATACTTTTCTACTTAGGATCAAAGTGTAGTATCTGCTTGATTCCTATCCCTTTTAATTTGGTATCAGTTGTTTTCTGAATGAGACTCTTGTAAGCATTATTCAATGATTAGAAAAGGTTACAATCAGTTGGCACAAGGCCTGGTGGATATGGAGGGTGGAGTAAAATTAACCAACTGAGTTCCAAAAGTGTTTCCTGCATTACTCTTACATTGTCATATAGAGGGAGTTGTGAAGAATCATGATTACTTTTGTCCTGAAGAGACACAGCACATAAAAGAAGAAATAGATAATACCTTGAGAATCCCATCACATGCACAACATTACACAATAATTACACTTTTCTATGTAGGATCAGAGTGTAGTATCTGGTTTCTTGCCCTTCTAATGTGAAATCAGTTATTCTTTCTGAATCAGACTCCTTTATGTTGATTATTTATATACATGATAGTCATGCTTTTCTCCTTGGATGAAATTCAACATCAGGCCAAACTGATATTTTTATAGACTAGCACAGAGTTGCATTTTTAACCAAACCTTTATGGACATGTTGCGACTGCTTAACATACAAGTGTGTATTTAGTGTTCCAATGCTTTTTACGAACAATAACTATCATATAGACAACATTACTTTTCTTACATAAAGTTCAGCTTTTGTGGTTTGGAGATTTACTCCCATCAATTAACTACTTATTGTACAGAAGGGGATGGGTAAATTGTCGCCATTTTATATGTTTAAATTTGGGCATGCATGATTTTTTTTTTTATGTTGTTAACTGAATGTTATTGTAGGCTCAGTGGGAACCGTCTGTGAGAAAAAATCAACATAAAGCAATTCACTCCACCAGAAATTTGTAAATGGCATGCTGTACTCCTAATATGAACATTTCAGAGCGTTTGGGTGTCAACCTGAGGACATTACAGAGGATCTAAAAAGAGTTAGATGAGTCTAATGGTGATTACAAAGATGTTTGGAGTGATCACTAGTGATGGTGATGTTATGCCTCCATTCATATTTCTACAGGGCCTCAGACTCAACATGGAGGCCTACATCAAGGTAGTACTGCCCTGGGTCAAGACCTCTGGCAACAGAACTTTGCACCATGGCACACAAGCAGGAGAACCCAATCATGCCTGTCAGACAATTTCTGTGACCACATCACCCTATTACATCTGGCCACCTACCTCCCAAGACTGTAACCTCATTGATCGTTATATGTGGGGTGCAGTTGAGCGAGAGACCAACAAAATTCCTTGTAACACCAAAGATGAACTGAAGGCAAGGATTATGGTAGCATTCACCAACTTAAACAAGGAGACCGCCCAGAAAAGATGTAGGAGATCCTGAAGTCATCTTGATGCCATGGTTGAAGCCAATGGTAATTTTATTGAATAAATTTACTCTTCAGTATTTCAAGATATTATTCGTTAAAATGAGATGTCAGTGTTATTTCCATTTTTGTCTAATTTAGATGACAATTTATCCATCGCACCAGTATATAACTCATGTTATGATATATTTAAGGAATGTTTAGGCTGATACATTCGCCATTACAGTTGGTTCCCCAAAATGGAAAATACTTAAATTAATATTTTGGTTTTCACCTACAAGGTGTTTGCTAAGATTTCTAGCATGTTTTATTTAAGAAATAAAAAAATCAGTTTCTAATTTCCAAACATAACTAAGAGCTATAAAGGATAGAAAGTTGTGGAGAGCCATGATTACTTACGTCCTGAAGAGACACAGTATATAAAAGAAAGAGGAGGAAAAATGAATAGTACCTCAACAATCCCATCACCTGCACAACATTATACAATAACAATGCTTTTCTACTTAGGATCAGAGTGTAGTATTTGCTTAATTGCTTGACCTTCTAATTTGGAATTAGTTATGCTTTCTGAATGAGAGTCTTTTATGCTGATTATTTGTCTTCATGACAGTCATGGTTTTCTCTCTGAATGAAATTCAACATCAGGCCAAACTTATAAGTGGTGACCCAGATACATACCAACTGGAGATGATCATCATTCGAAACACCCTTCAGGGTAACAACTATGATTATCAGGCAGCTCTTTGATACCTTTTGTGTAAAATTCCACAGGTTTTGATACAAACATTTTTTGATGATGTCTTGAATTTTTTTTGCTATTAAAGAAAGTTTTCCTCGTCAAAGTCTTTTGCAGCGACTAAAAAAAAGTAACAATTATTTTGTATGTTGGGTGAATATGGCAGGTGGAATAGAACTTACCAAATGATTCCCAAAGTCTTTACCTGTGTTATTCTTGCTGCAACCTTTTATTATAGATGAGAACAATGTTTTTTTTCGATTGACATGTGCAGAATTTTATGGACATGTCATGGCAGCCTGTCTAAACAAGAATTTAATCTCACTGGCTTATAACAACTTTAAATAGTTAATATGACACCAATCCCAGCACATGCACAACTTTATATTTTTTTTATTGTACTTTTCTATTTAGGATCAGAGTGTAGAATCTGCTTGATTCTTATCCATTTTGAAAATTGTAAGCATGCAGCAGCATTCATTTATGCAGGGCCCAAGGATAAAAGCTGCTATTGATGTATATATACTTTTAGAAGTCATATTTATACATAATTACAAAACTTATATTGCTTGCTGTTGATGTATATATATATATATATATATATATACACATTTTCAAGATATATGTCTTTACATCATACTTATTATAAAACCCAGGTTGTGTGTGTGTATGTACGTTTATATATTAGATCAGATTTCCTACATTTTTCAACCGATTTCAACAAAACTTCACAGTACTATTTAAAAATTACCTTTGAAGGTTCTGTCAGTTCCCAAAATTGGAAAAAACACAATTGTTTTTGCACGAAATTAATTTGAAAACACGATTAAGACTAAAAGGCATTAATGAAAGGGGGACAACTCATATTGAGTTATACTTATTATAAAACCCAGGTTGTTTGTGTGTGTGTGTTCATTTATATATGGGATCGGATTTCCTACATTTTTCAACCGGTTTCAACAAAACTTCACTTTTTTTTTGGCAGGTAGTGTTTCTTATTGTCTTGCACACTTTTTTCTTTATTTTTACATTCAGAATGCTTTATAAATTCCATTTACAAGACAACTGTTTATAATAAAATTCTATTCAATTGGTAGACTCATAACAATTGAAAACAATGTTTTTGTTTGAGTTTGGGTTTGACCAATTCGTAAAAAAAAACGAAAAAACTAATGCGTGTCCATCAACCTTAAACAATAATCTTTGTCAATTTTATTTTTCAGTCTTTATGATGGTCGATACTTGATCTATCTCTTACTGTTACATCCCCGGGCAACGCCAGCTCTACTGCTAGTAACTAATAGAACTAAAACATATCTAGAGGGTTACAGTTCAAACAAGTTGGACCTGGGAATTGTGTTTATATTCATTGTTTTCTGCTCAGCTGCAACAATGAGAATTAGAAATGTCCTACAAGGAGGGCAATGAGCAGCTGATTATTTTCTGGATAATGTCTATAATCTAATGGAGAGCTCTGCTGTCTTTGCTGAGCAGCTAGCACATGATACAGAGATGAAATCAGCCAAACATGTCCTTCAAAGAGAGCAATGAGCAGCTGATTATTTTCTGGATAATATCTATAATCTAATGGAGGGCTCAGTTGTCTTTGCTGAGCAGCTAGCACATGATACAGAGATGAAATCAGCCAAACATGTCATTCAAAGAGGGCAATGAGCAGCTGAATATTTTCTGGATAATGTCTATAATTCATTAGAGGACTCTCTTGTCTGTATCATATGCCAGCTGCTCAGCAGCAGAGATCTAATCAACCAGAACACTCTCAAAAGAAGATCATCCACAGCTCCCATTTTAAATTATTTTTCTCAGAATTCTCTGTAAATAGACTCATTGCTGTGCCTTCTCGACTATCATGATGCTATTGCACTTGCCCACAAACTTAATTTTATCTGCCCTCTCCACAGAAAACACGCGAAAAATAAGAGACAGATGCTGTGACATTTCTTGTAAAGTCCACCACTAACTCCTTTGTTGTTGTTTAAAGCAAGGTTATTTTCTGAGATCTTTGCAACCAATCTATTTATATAAACCTCCAATAGTCCAACTCATCACCCCCCACCAAAAAATAAGTCCAACCACAGTAGTGTCATCCACAAACTTTGTGTTGGTCAGATGGATATTGATTGATTTGTTTTTTTACAGCATATCAAGTTATTTAAAGCCAGAAAAGATTTTTAGATTGTAAGAATGTTTTTGGCAATAATAATAATTTACTGATACAAGTCCTGCTGATTAACCCATGCCTGTGGGAAGAAGAGGTGGACTGATACCTTTTCTCAATGGTATCTGTGCATAAGTGAATATAACAAACCTGACTGGAATTGGAACTTGGCTGTTTGCTTTCCAATTTCAAGCTGTTATCCATTACGCCAACTGCGCATCCAAGCTTTCAGCACCTGGAATTTCTAAACAGTCACCCAACTTGGTACTGACCAGGCTCAACATTGCTTAACTTCAGTGATCATAGAAGAACTAGTGTTTCAATGTCATATGGCCATAAGACTGGGATGAATAGAAACACAACAACAAATGTAAATGGTGTACAAATGAGGGCTTAATACACATCCCTGTGGGTCATTGGTACTGAGCATAACAATGGGAGAGAGATGAAGGTGTATTATCACAGTTTGAGAATGATTTGGCAGAAAGTTCTTAACACAATGACAGATGGACTGAGTTCTAGTCATTTGAGCTTTGTAACAAGTCTGCTCAGGATGAGTGTTTTAAAGCCAGAGCTGAAATCAACAAAAAAGCATTCACACATAACTCCCCATTTTCTATAGTTGAGTCATTGCAGTATGGTGGGCAATGCTGATGGCATCTTCAGTTGCTCTCTATGTAAACTGGTATTGATCAAAAGTAGACAACACACTTACCTTGGCATGCTGCTAAATCAATCTTTCAAAGCACTTCATAACAATCAGTTTAAGTGCTACTGGTTGATCAAACACATAAGTGGTCTACGAACAAATGATCAACATTAGAAACCCCTTTTAGGGTAACAGCTACCCTGCAAGCATAACATCAACTTCCAAAGACAGGACATAAAAACTGTAGACAGCAATCAAAAAAGTGCCATGTATCAGGGCAACATTGAAAATGATATCAATAGATTTGGACACTGTATAACATTAGAATAGCATTTAAAAACAGTTCATCATCCTGGGTAAAACGTTAAACTACATCCAGCAGCAAGGCCTCTGATCAAGAGGTGTGAGGAGCATGGAACCACCTCTTAATTGCTGGTGTTCCCAGGTCCACTCTGACCTGGGGTGGCAAGTACCTGTTAGGGTTCCAACTATGGGAAAATAATTAACTATTATCAGCAATACTTTTTTGAAAAAAAATTATTACCAGCAGTACAATTTTGAAGGAAATATATTACCAAAAACAGATTTTTGACAAAACAAAATATTACCAGCAATAAAAATTTTTGTCAGCATTAAATAACACATTAAGGTTGATATGCCATAAAACAAAATAAACCAAACCAATCTAAACCAAAGAACACATATTCTATTCATACGAATCTATCCTAAAAATGTTGTCAGCATTAAATAACCCATTGAGGTTGATATGCCATTAAACAAAATAAAACAAAAATGGTTCAACCCTTTGGAGATATTGAAAATGATTCAATAGATCTCGATCACATATAACATTAGAATGGTATTTAAGAACATTTAAGTAGATCTGGACCACATATAATGTCAGAATAGTATTTGAAAATATTTCAACCCTTTGGAGATATCTCTCCCCATCTCACTCATAAGAAAACATGACCAAAATCTATATGTATTCCATTACATGCAATTGTGGCAAGAAATAATACAAAGGGGAGATTACTCATGTGCTCAAATGATTGGAGGATCACCCAAACACTGTCATTTGAGAATAGATATTGAAATCTGGCATGGAGGAAATGAAGTCAAGATATTAGTTAAATATAAAGAAAATAAGAGAACTGGAAAAATCACTACACACATACATTGAAAACCCTGTCAGTAAACCTGGTGTAGATGTAGATACTATCTGGTGGCCTCTAATAATAAAAAAAAATGTCCAAGTCTGCACTACCCAATGATTGTTTCATGGACAATAGCTGAGTAGATAAAAGCAAAGATTTGTGAAATTGTGAATTCAATCCCTGGGCAGGGCAGTTCAGACTTTAACTCAGTATAAACTAAGTAAAGCAATAACAGAGGAGTATTAAATAAGAACTAGACAAAATATCCCGAGACATGGTCAGTGGAATGAGAACAATTCCCTTCCCCACAATTAATTCCCTGAATATTACTTGAATCTACAAACTCATGATAGAGAGCACAGGAGACAAAACATTGTGATAATAACTACAAATATGAAGATAATAGTCAAAATGTAAATAATGATAACTCTTCATCCCAGAAATTCAAACAAGTAAAAGGAATTTATAACTCTCAACTGATACTAAGCACTAGTTAGTTTATAACACAAATGCTAGGGACCAACATTTCACAGTGTCTTGAGAATGTATGCCTATATCAACAGCAGGCAATTTAAATTTTGTAAAGATGTATAAATATGTCCATAACAATGGAAGTGTTAAGTAATTTATAAAACTTTGATGTAGTAATGTTTGCATTATTAATTAGGAGGATTACTGATGTTCTTACAAGGAGGTGCTGAAAAGGATGCACTATATTTCAATAGGATACATTACAGTAGAAACTAACTGGGATGACTAATATATCTATGCCGGTTTGGGAATAGCACTAGTTTTAGTTAGTTTATAACACAAAAGCTAGGGACAAGTATTTCATAGTGTCTTGTCAATCACTATCTACAGTCCTCTTGATTACTCGTAAATAAATGACCCCCTCGTAAAAAGAACAGAAAGAAAATATTTTTAGCAATGAGCATTCATTAGACCAGGAATGCACAACTAAAAAAAATGGGTTGTATTATATGCTACTATAAGTCTATGATAGTTTAGAAAATAGCATGAAGCACTAGTTATTTTATAAAGACAAGGGGCTGAATTTTCAGGGTGTGTTGATATTACATATGTATGTCAACAGCAGAAAATGTGAGTTTTGTAAAAATATAAAATACATCCATAGCTAAGTAAATTATAAAAGCCTGATGTAGTAATGTTAACATTATTAATTAGAAGTGTTATTAATGTTCTTACAAGGAAATGCTGAAAAAGATACACTATATTTCAATATGATACACTACAGTAGAGACTAAGCTGTCTTGATAACATTATTGTAGAATAACCAATATATACATATATATAGCTTTTTTGTTGGAGATTCAATATTGCAAGGGACATTTTAATTGATATATTGAAATGCTTACAATATGAAGAATTCACTTTGATAAACATTGACCAAAAAGTAGAATCCTAAAGAGGATTTAAATTCCTGTTTCTTCCTTCTTTGTGATTTGCCACGAATTCATTTCTCTTTCTCAATATTTATATCAATGAAACAACTGTGTATTCCTGTCTTAATAGTAAGTATAATCAGACCAACAAAGTAAAACTAGCAACTACTCTCAAAAACTACCTCCAACATTTCAGTGTCTTGAAAATGTATATATACGTCAACAGCAGGCAATGTAAGTTTTGTAAAAATGTACAAGCACGTCCACAACAATGGAAGTGTTAAGTAATTTATAAAATTCCAATGTAGTAATGTTAACATTATTAATTGGAAATGTTATTAATATTTTCTTACAATGAGGGGCTGAAAAACACACCATATTTCAATTGGACACACTAGAGACAAAGTGAAATGACTAATATGTTTATACTAATTTGATAATAACACTAAGTGCTAGTTAGTTTATAATGTATAGGACCAACATTTTGTAGTGTCCTGAAAATGTATGTACGCATCAACAATAGACAATGTAAGTTTTATAAAGACATAACTACACTTAAAATAATTGCTTGGTCCTTCATGATAAAAAATATCAGTTTCTTTTCTCCCACTTCTTGCTTGTGGAACTCTTCTAGCTCCAAGCTTTCCATCCAGCTAACTTTCATCATCTTCAAAAATTTAAATGTAATGTAAATCACAATCTATAGTCCTCTTGATTACTCTTTAAATAACTGACCCTTTGTAAAAAGAATAGAAAGGAAATATTTTTTAGCTATAAGCATTCTTTAGATCAGCAATGCACAATTAAAAAAAAAACGGGTTGTATTATATGTTACTATAATTCTATGATGGTTTAGAAAGTAACACAAAGCACTAGTTATTTTATAACAACAAGAGGCTGAAATTTCATGGTGTGTTGAAAATGTATACATATGTCAACAGCAGGCAATGTGTGTTTTGTAAAGATGTACAAGCACATCCACAACAATGGAAATGTTAAGTAAATTATAAAAGTCTGATGTAGTAATGTTAACATTACTAATTGGAAGTGTTATTAATGTTACAAGGAGATACTGAAAAGGATGCACTATATTTCAATAGGATACACTACAGTGGCGACTAAGTGAAATGACTAATATGTTTATGCTAGTTTAGGAATAGTACTAAGTGTTGTAAGTTTTATAAAGATGTCAAAAAATATGTCAAAAGAGTCAAAGTGTTAAACATATTTATTTTATTAAACTTTTCTAACACTGAACCTGGGTTTGAACTATGGACTTTGTGGCTCTAGCTCTACTTCTTTGACCCTGTGCTATCTCCTGCAATATAAATGATTTACATGTATCTAAAGTCACAATAATTTCCACACCTACCAAGCACTTACTCATAGTGGGCAAAAAGCCATGATTAAATGGCACCAAGTTCTAGAATTCGCTCATCTTTGAATGACTCTTGACTGTTTCTATAATGCATGATCAAGGCCAAGGTATTGATTCATTAAAGAAATCAATGAAGTCTTGAAATTATTGATTTTTCGCTTTTGCAAGGGTCATGTTAGACTTTAGTGCAAATCTCTTGGCCTATTTTGTTTTTTTTCTTGAGCTTCTGAATAAACTGAATTTTTAATGATTTTTTTTTGTTTCTTAAAAATTAGCTTTTTAACAAACTTCAAGAATGAACATTTTAAGTATTTTTGGATTCAAACAAACAGTTTATCCTTGATTCTTAATTTGAAAAGGCAGATAACAAGAGGGAATCTATCATTACTTTATCGCGGTTTCATGGCAAATGTTGCCTTCAGTGTTGTCTCTGTGTCCCTACACTACTAGATAAATATCAATGAAAAGGACTATTTCTTTTTGTTATTAGTCTTATTAGGAGAGAGTGGTGGCAGCTTGGATTCTAAGAGGCAATTCGAAAAATGGTGTCACAGGAACACATATCCCATGTTGGCTCAGCATCTCTCCGTGGATGATCTCAGCTGGTCATTAACCAAAGTATGGGAGGTGTATCAACACTTCAGAATTCTTATGATCCTCTGTTGAATTCATGCAATTTTGAACTTATATTTAAAACCCAGACAAAGGCAATTCATCACTATTAGAATACCATGCCCACAAGCCAGTCCA